AAAAAACTTGTCTTAGGAGCATTTGTTTGGTAGATGGTTTTGCTGCACTGGTGAAATTTTTACTTGTGAAATAGACACAATGCAATTGGTTGAGAAGAATAACAATGACTTTACATACAAACATACTTGCTCTTCATAAAATTAGTAAAGGTTTGTGTACTATAAACACAAGTATTAGGGTGAGTTCTAGTCTATGATATCATTTAAAAAGAAATGTGTAGTAAATTTACATTTGTGTATGCTTCATTATTGAATATATTTCTGACAGGAAACTTCCATTTTTAACCAAGCATTGATAAGAACTGAATTTTTTATTTAAACTGTTACAAAACCAATAGCTGGAAAACGTTTGCCCAGACGAGCTTTGGTTCATTACATTTCAAACTTTGTTTCGCATCTGTTACTCACATTCCACTGTTCCTGAGAGCCTTAGGTTGTGGGCCACTATGTGACCTCTGGCCCTACACCTTCACACAGTGATGCACAATCAGCAGTAGAAAAATTCCTGCAAGCCATTATAACACTAGGGTAGCTAGAAAAGAATTAACTATCTAGGAAAGGAATTGTAAACCAAAAAATATGTATCTCCCTAAACCCATACTAAATGTGTATTAACCTCAATTGTTCTTAGCAAAAATACAAAAAAAATTGCATAGCCAATTCAATGCCAGATAACGTTGAAATAGGACAGAGAGGAGATGAAGTGGAAAGAAGTGGCAATATACATGATTGCAGGTTATATAACGTTCATTAAAAAAACAATAACAGGGCCGGCTGAGTGGCGCGATGGTTAAGAACTGGCTTGGGATGCCAGAGGACCCCGGTTCAGATACCACATATGAGGGTCAGTGACACTGCCCTCTACAGCTAAGATGCTGAACAACAGCTCAACCTGGAGCTGGGCAGCCGTGGTCGCGGGCGTCGGCGGGGGCTGCAGTCCCTGCTGCAGTGGGCTGCCATAAGCTACCATGTGTAGCCGGCAGCCAGCGTGAGTGGCCAGCAGCCGCAGTGAGCGGCCGTCCAGAAGCCAGCGACTGATCTGCCTCAGCCAGGAAGAGCGCAATGATGGTGTCAACTTGGGCCAGTGAAGCAAC